CAGGGCCATGGCTGGGAAGGGACAGCCCGTGGTGACTCTGCGACATCCATCCATAGGTTTGGTGCCCAGGAATGAAGATGTAAAGTCTTGGGAATCACTGATTCAATTTCAATTATTGATTTGAGGCTCGTGCCCCTGCCTCCATCCCTCAGATGCAGGGAGACCAGAACTTGTTTTTCAGATAGGAAACTGAAGGCAACTACAATTTAGGTGGCTTTCTCAAGTTCTCTAAGCCCTGTCAGCACAATTCTCAGACTCGGCACATAACAAAGTGCCAACAAAGTTGGCAGTGGAGAACAAATTGTTTCCCTGCCCATGACAGGGAGGTTGGATTAAATGATCTCTAGGGTCCCTTCCAACCTCGGCCATTCTATGATCTTATGAAAGCAAAGTCTGTTGCTTGGTGAGGAACTAGTGGCACGCTGGTGTTCTCACATTGCTGCAATGCATCTTTGCTAAAGCCCACAGACCAGGGCAGCTTTTGCTGACTGTTTCTGAATTTTAGCAACCTCTCCACAGGCATAAGCGAAGTTCAAATCAGCAAAGATTTCAAAATTTCACCACTGCGCTCGCCTTATGAGAACCATATGGATGAGTCAAGTCTGGAGAGAAGGGATTCAGCAGCTCCAAATGGAGAGGAGGAAATTATTCTCAAGGTATCTAAGTTAAAAGCTCTTGAGAGCAGAAAAGTGATTTCTCTTGCCCCTCAGTAATCTTGGTAAAATACCAAAATCTGCCTCGGTCACTGTGACATGATTGCTTTTTCCATTTCCTTTCACTGTCTTCCATGAAGGTTATAGCTAGCAGACTAAGGGGATGGGAGGGCAAAGGGGGAAATCAGAGAAGTCCAAAGAATAATATTCCTTTAGTAAAGCAAAACTGCAAGTTTTATCTTGACTTATGTAGTCTAGCTCTCCCAGGGCAAGCCAAAATTGCTCTGCCTGCACAAAGCAAGTGATTGGCTGCCTCGGAGACCTCTCAGGATGACAGCGCGGAAGTGATCTATTACAGAAAGAGAAGTAGAGCTGCCTTCCCAGTCATAAGGGGACAAATAAATATTTCTATTTATTTTCCTGTGTCAGTCAGCAGTTTCTTCTCATCGTATTGCTTGAAATCCTGTCTCATGGCCGTATATCCTGGTGACCAGAGGAAGGGAAGGATTTTCTGTTTGTTGCAATTTCTCCCCGCTGCCTTTAGCCAAAAGACAAGGAATAACTTTCATCAACCACACAGGAGGATGGGAACCGTTAGCAGGTGGTTAGCTCCGGGCATGGGGGAAGAATCCCATTCGCACCCTCTGGAAGAAGACCCTCTGTCATTTTCACCAGGATCTAGCACACATTTCTAAAGATGAACATTTGTGACTCGTTAGAAGCAAAGGAAGCTGCCAAGAGCAACAGCTGAGCAGTTCCTGGGAGAAGGAAGGGATGAGTAAAACCACACCACAGCGCAAAGCCTCAGAAATGCTCTGTTCCTGAAGGCGCTGGCATGGGCAGCTCATTTCAGGGAGAGTGACGCAGAAGATCCTGGTGTTAGGGGGCAGGTTGTCATGACGGCTGGTCACCAATGCCACCAGGCAGAGCAGGATACTCAACAGAAAATGGGATGAGTTGAGTATGGGTGGTGGAGAAAGGAATAACTGCCTTTGCTGAGCCTTAAAGTGTGCAAGGTCAGGAAATGGAGATGTTGGCAGGGGAGAAACGTAAACTGTGTTAAGAGAAGCTTGTAAATGTTAAGGTTAAGCTGCTGAGAAACCCATGAACTGTACGCATGAGCAACCTGAGCAGCTAGTCCTCAGGGAGAAGCTTATCCTTACCTTGGGCACCTCACACAGCCTGACCTCACCACCCAGAGACAAGCGACACTTGAGAACACTGCCCAAATAGCAAGATGAACCCTTGATATACCAGTTTGCTCTGCAGTTTCAGCTACACTTCCAAAACACAAACTGGTAATCCAGCCCAATTCTTGATTTCCATATTGATGGATTTGTATTGAAACCTTTGAAAGTAATATTTTAAGCCACTTACATTTAAATCAGCTTGAGGTGTTTCTTGGATCAATGAAGGCAAAATCAAACCTCAAACAATTAAGAATCTCTTCTTTATGCTTACTTTGGAAATTATGAAGGAGAGTTGTAGATTGCCTCACTATCTAGCATGCCAAATCAAGGAACAGTTTTGATATTGCTTGAACCGCCTGACCATGAGGAATTCTCTGGTGACACAAGGTCACCTGAACTCAAGAGGTCCAACATGTGGCTTTTTGAGGAGTCAGAATGGGCACCAGCTGGTCACCAACTACCACTGGGAAAACTGCAGCGAGAACTGGAAGTGCTATGCACCACTACTCCATCAAAACTTTGGCCCTTTGTGATTTAGGCTGGAAACAGCATCCAAATACCTTAATTGCGGTCAGCTAGACAAGCAACCCGATATGGGAATGCATTTTACATCGGAAGATAGTCCTGAGTTTGCAGTCTTCATTCACTTTTTCATACACAGAGATGCATTATTATCTCTACCTCTCTATAAAAGTTAATATATCCACACACCCATATAAGCGTATTGGATAGTGCAGTTGCACATTCAACAGGGCCATCTGCAGTACCAGGATTATTTTCCCTTCCTCACTACCTCTTTCAGAGAACCCACTGTAAGCTGAGCTGCAATCTTAAAAGAGTAGCAAGATTTTCAGCCTCATGAGTGTCTGAAGACTACACTATTATTATTCTAACAATCACTGCTATAGAAATATGGAGCAGATGCACAGAACTTTCCAGAGGGACCTGGACAGACTGGAGAGGTGGGCCCATGCCAACCTCTTGAAGTTCAACAAGACCAAGTGCAAGGTCCTCCATCTGGGTCCGGGCAATCCCAGGCACCACTATAGACTGGGCAGTGACTGGCTTGAGAGCAGCCCTGAAGAAAAGGAATTGGGGGTGCTGGTGGATGAGAGCTCAACATGAGCCACCAGTGTGCACTTGCAGCCCAGAAAGCCAGTTGTGTCCTGGGCTGCATCAAGAGAAGCATCGCGAGCAGGTCAAGGGAAGTGATTCTCCTCCTCTACTCCACTCTCCTGAGGCCCCACCTGGAGTACTGCGTCCAGTTCTGGAGCACCCATTACAAGAAAGATCTGGACGTGCTGGAACGTGTCCAAAGAAGGGCCATGAGGATGATCAGAGGGCTGGAGAACCTCCCCTATGAAGACAGACTGAGAGAGTTGGGGCTGTTCAGTCTGCAGAAAAGAAGGCTCCGAGGAGACCTTATTGTGGCCTTCCAGTATCTCAAGGGGGCCTACAGGAAATCTGGTGAGGGGCTTTTTAGGCTGTCAGGTAGTGACAGGACTAGAGGGAATGGAGCAAAGCTAGAAACAGGTAGATTCTGATTAGACATTAAGAAGAAGTTCTTCACCCTGAGGATGGTGAGACTGGCACAGGTTGCCCAGAGAGGTGGTGGAAGCCCCATCCCTGGAAGTTTTTAAGGCCAGGTTGGATGCAGCTCTGAGCAACCTGATCTAGTGGGTGATGTCCCTGCCCAAGGCAGGGGGGTTGGAACTAGATGATCTTTCAGGTCCCTTGCAACCCAGACAATTCTATGATTCTATGATAACTGCTCTTTAATACCTCTCAGAGCAGGCAGTTTCACAGAATTATTTTTTTAAAAATACCTCCCAACTAGAGAGTGCAGTAGGTCTGAGAAAGAATTCATATTTTTGGCAAGCTTGTACTTTTCTGGTGCAGATCAAACTTACCTTAAAAAGCCAGATCATTTAAGAAACAACTTAAGAGGTGACAAGTCTTCCCAAAACAACTGTGCTCCATTTCACAACTTGGAACACTCTATTTCTATATGCTCTAAATTTTCTTTCAAATACAAATGCTACATTATAGAACTTATATGTGCTCTCACACAGAAGATGTAAGAAGAACTTACACCAGTTTCTGATTATCCTGAGCATGTGTGTGTGTGTGTGTGTGGGGAGACAGAGAATAGGAGTGGGGAGAAAGAAGACAAGCAATAATTAAAACAAGTTTCCTGATAATGGGGATCCCCATTTCAGAGCAAAAAGGAAAGCTAAAGCACAGGCATATCCAGGAGACAGCATATCCTGAGTTTTGATGCATCCTAAAAGCAATTCAGAATCTGCAGCTTCTGTCCTAGACGGTAACTCTTGCCTGTTCTTTACATTATTGAATTTATTGAATTAAATTGAAACCTGAGGGGATGAGGGGCAACATACATCCCCTGCGACATATTAAAAGATCAGATTTTGCAGTTTGGTTTACTCAAAAAGGAAAGCTGTGTCTACTTACTGATAATCAATGTCTTCTCCAAAGAGAGAGGCAGTACATTTGAAACAAGTTATAATGAGGCCTTTATATGGACTATGGAAAATGCCTTCGTTCCTTTGGGAAGCTAGCTGAATGAACGAGATCATAACTGGTAAGTATAACTCAAGTAAAAGAAGAATGAACAGATTCAGAGTGAAAGTAGGAGTAATACCAGGGACATCTGCAAAAAGAGATACGCTCTTCATTGTTTGACAGGCAACATCCCCATCAATTTTTTAACAACTTATAGCGTTCCTGGCTACTATATTTATTAGAACTGACATTTATTGGTACCTGAAGGGGCTGTAAACGTGCTGTTACACAACCACCTCACTAGATGCGCAGAAAAGCTTACAGAAAGCATAAGAGATGGTGAGATCAGCCTGACTGGAGTCAGCGGGACGCAGCTCAGCATGTGCAGGCGCTTGGTGCCCTCTCCTGGGCAAGACAGACCCTCGTCTTGCTGGTTCAAGGCACAGAAATCCAGAAAACGGGATTTTTCTAACAATTTCACAACACACAGGCACCTCCTAAACCTTAAACTAATTCCTTGGACAAATCAAAGATGTGGGCCAATCGAGTCTGGACAGAAGAGAGAAAGTTCAGATATTTCTCAGGGAAGTACTAGGCTGTTTAACTCCTTCAAAATCTCAGACACAGCAGCATGTTACATCACAACATTGTTTATTATGTGACTTTTTACAATACAAACAAAAATACAGAAATGCAGTATATGAATACAGCTAAATGCAAAATGGTGATGTTTTTCTTGAGGCCATATTCCCATTTCTAGTAAAATAAAGACTGCACACAGGTAGAAACAGGTTGGTAGTTAACTCCACAATTTTGCCTAGAAATGACCTATAAATGCGTTTTCCTGCTACTTACCATAAAATGTAAAAAGGGAGTTAAAGGAAAGTTTTACTCACTGGTTCCTACCATATGAAAGAAGCTATATTCTATTTAGGAAGGTCAATATATGGAAAAATATCTAAATTAAATGTTATTACAAAAAAAAAAAAATGAAGCAGTAATGAGATCCTTCTGCCTAAGAAGTTACTAAATGAGAATAGCATATATTTAAAGAATCCAAAACATAAAAGGGTTGTTATAAAAAGCTTAGGTGCACTGTAGCCTACAACTCTTGTTTTTCCATGTGTACTTTTAAACAATGGAAGTGTCAAAAATAGGGTCGACTGTGTTAGACTAAATTACATTATTGTATACGCTGCACTGAATGGAATTCTTGTATTATAATAATAGAGAAGCATCGTTTGCATCATATTATGGCAATTTATCCTCACTAAAAACCGTCTAGAGTCCTTGCATTTTTAATATCGTGTAAACCGTCAAACCACCAGAACATGATTGTACAACAGTAAAATGTTTTCTTTTGCATTAAAACAACATGGTTTTTTTTTAAAAAAAAGTACTTAGAGCTGTTATTTTTCCAAGTACACAACACCCTAGACAATTTCAAGGCATCTCATTCCCCATGAAAATTAACAAAAATTTGTCATGCTGTTAAATCCATTACTATGGATACAACTGGTGCAAAATTGGTCAAACGGATCCAACACACACTGATGTCCAGGCTGGCATATTGGCAACTAATACATAACTGGTGGTCAAAATGACGTATTTAAAATATCTTCCCTTTCTTCTTATTCTTTTCCAAGGTTCTAAAACGATATCGGAAAAAAAAGTTTGTTAAATAATGCATACACGCTGTCACCTTTTTTATTTTTACATCACTAATGTATATATATTATGTATTTTATAAAATTTTACTGGTTGCAATACAATGCAAAGCTACAAAGCATTTACTGTTGAACCACAGGCCAAGACTTCAATTTACCTGGAAGAATTCTGTTGTTCCAAAATACGCTGTTGAGCTTCCCAGTTTGCTTTCTCGTCCTCAAACTGGCGACGCTTTTCCTCTAATTCTTTGTGTTGCGCCTCCAAATTCTTTTTCATTTGCTCATGGCGTCGCTGCAGCTATAGAAAGAGTTACAAGCAGAGTCAGTAAACACAGAAAGCACAGCGACTTTTGGAGCCACAGTAACGAACAAAAGCAATTACAGTAATGCAAGAAAATAAAATATTGTATTCTCTCTCCAGAGAAGGTAACTCTCAGGCCAAAAGAAGTCTCTTAGACCAAAATGTTACAGGTATTGCCAAGAACATGAGTTGCAAATAGGAGTTATAAGCAGTTATGTGTGGCAAACTAGAGTGAATTCAAAAATATTCTGATATATGATGCAGATGTTTAGGAGGAGATTGCAAAGCACCTGAATATCAGTAATGTGTAAATTAGCAGCATCTTTGAATTTGTGTGGGGAAAAAAACCCAAACATTTCTTTCACCCTGTAGTATTAACTACATTAAGGATCTACTTTGGAGAATATTAAGTGGGTTAATTTATTAACTGATTAAATGAATTATTATTGATGTAATTGACACAAATTGTCTATACTGCCAGGACAGTATAAGAAGTCTCTCCTGCAAGTTAAGAGGACAGACTGACAATCAAATGTGATGTGAGAACGGCGATGCTGTCCGCAAAAGTGATTCCTTTTGTATGATGTAACGTTGTTTTTGAATGGAGTTAAATAAACTTCAAACTCCTTTTTAAATGCTTTATACTCAGCACTATCTATTGCCTACTTTTCTACTTTTAGAGAAATAAACCAGAACTTTAAGAAGCCATGAATGGTGAAGAAGAAAATTAATGAATTGCCTGAACATTTAAAAACTGTTATCACAGGATGCACTCGCTTCAAGTCATGACGGATTACATGGAAAAACAAAAATGAAAGTTTTTCATGTAACAAGGAGAATGTGGAGGCCAGAAGTATAAATGGGTTCAAAAAGGGTTGAGACAAAAACTAAGGAAGGATGAACCCTGTGGTGACCCAGATAAAACATCATCAGGCTTTGCAATCCTCAAATTGCTCACTGGGGGCATCCTAGCATTTACCTATTCACTTCTCCAAAAGAGAAAAAAAATAAATCTAGGTCAATGTATTTTTCCCTCCGATCATGCCTTGGCTCCTTACAATACCCAGGGTGCCAAGTACTTCAACAACCCGTCCAAGTTTCCTCACTTTCCCCTCAAATTTGGGGCCAAACTTTCTTTAGGAACTCTGACAGTTTTGAACGTCTCCATTAGGCTTCTTGTGAGAAGTTGCCTTCTAAAAAGTTAATACTAATTTTCTACTTAAGCTTAATTTTACAACAGTCTTTTAAAATGATCGTTTCAGGAGATGATTGAAGCCCATAAAAATAGTTTCACTATGAGAACTTTCACCTGGAGATGACAGAAATTAAGTATCCCTTAAAATCATATATGTTCAAATGACACCGTATCACTGATAACAACAAAATCCTGCCTCTGTCTTAGCCTAGTAATTCTCATTTAGACAATTTCTTAACAGACATCATAAACAGTTCCTGAAACGCTTCTATAATACGCAAAGCAAATTATCATTACTACATTAGCTTATGTAAACCATAGAATTCTCAAGAATTTTTAAAAGCACATGGAAGAAGACAAGCATAAAATATTCCAAAGAAGAGGGAGAAAAAGAGGGTAGTAAGAAAGTTAAGGAGTATAATTTGAAAATAAAAGGAGAATGCATAGAAATAGTGAAATTACTTTTAAAGTTTGAGCTTAAACCATGTTGGCGAAGACAAGGAGCTGAGAAAGAATAACCAAGTTATCTTTAAACATAAAATCTGACCACAGAATCAGTTCCTAGACAGAGGTCATGCTGCAAAGTCTCGTCAAAAAGTGCCACATCTCCACACTAGTCCAGCCTCAGGCATATCGGGGTTTAAGACATTTTGATTACCTCAGCTTCTGAGTCCTTCAGTTTCTGAACTTTTTCTTTGACTTTCATCTCAAACACCTGTTCCATTTCCATTTCCATTTTTTTCATTTTGGCTACATGCTCCCTCCTTTCCTCCTCCATCTGTGCCAATGGGCTCCTGTCACAAACCCAGAAGAAGAAGTTAGCCAGTAAGAACCTTTTTCCCTGCCTGTTACATTAGGGCATCTGTAAAAAAAAAAAAACCAAGAAAAATGCTGAAGCATTAAGATAAACAACATCGCTGTTTGCACTGCTAGCTTAAATTCAATTGGCATTATGACATTAGTTGTTTAGTTAAACTTTCCTCAAAAAGACATTTCATACACTATCCTTTCCGTCCCCACGACTGATTTACATTACATTTAAGTTAACAGAAACTCTTGACTTTCTTTGTTTAGTAGAACCTAGTCACAGTAAAAGAGGAAATCAACATTACATCAAAAAAAAGTAGCATCTTCCAAGCATCTTCAGGCATCTTTTTCTTTCCCATTCAAATACATATAAAAATTAATGACCATAATAAAAATTAAGAGCGCTGAAGACAAAAGTCCCAATTCCTCTCTAAATCTTCACTGTTCAAAGCGAGCCCAAGAGTAAGTTAACATGAGAACTGTGTTGAGTGCTGCTGTGGTCACACTCCTGAAGAGAGAGGAACTTTGGAAAAGAGGGTTTGGGCAACTGAACATCAGTATTTCATGAAAGTGTTAGCTGGAAGATTTTCTTTTAGAAAGCTATTAATAAACTTGAATGCATAAAAATAACATGCATTATGGTTTATTTTTCTACATGCTTTATGGTAACTGCTTTCCTGGTTCCTATTGAATTTTTAAAGCTGTATAAGCCTGCTATCCATGTCATGGTGATACAGGTTTTAAATAGCAAATTAAATACACAATAAACCAGGAAGATTTTGTTCTAGTGACGATTGCAACATGCAGTCTTGTAAGACTTTTCTGCCATTCAACAAAGAGCAACTAAAACAAATCACTGGCCTCTTGTTTCAGTTTTGAGTGTGTACAGCTTAAAATGACAAAGTTTTAACTATCGTGTTGGTGAAAATGAGGTAGAGCTGAATATATTTGGAACTGTTAGAATCAACCATCAGAGGATATCTGCTGTAATGCATGCAAGAGCCACTGAGGTTAGCAAATTGTAAAATAAAGGTGGCAAGCCTAAGCCCTATCGAAACTTATATTTTTGCTTTTTTCAATTCTTAAAAAAAACCAACAACACTAAAAATCCCACATCAAAAAGCCCTGTTCTGATTCAAATCATGCAGAAAAAACATTCTGAAGGGAGAAAAGAACTGACTGACTTTTAATGATGATTGAAACATGACTAGTAACATTTATTTTGCTTCAGAATTTGTCTTGTTCTTAGAGGAATGGAGGTTGTGTACCAAACATCTGGTTTGACTACCAGTGGTTCATTTTATCCTTTCTGCTTGCCCATTTTCACCAACTAGCCACACTGAAAGTAATCAAGGTCCGTATGAACTCAAGGCCATGTGAGCTTTTACCTCAAATAGCAGTATTTTAAAGGTGACAATTGGTGGTGGGGATGAGGGGGAAGAAAATTTCATTTCCTTTTTAAAAAACCCCAAATTACATTGAAACTAAACAGTAGCAAAACCTGGATTGGTGAGTAAAATGCTGTATAATGTATCTGGAACTGGAATTGATCCTCAGTCTAATGTTTATTTTTGCCCTTCTAAAGGCCAATTGATCCAATTTTTGTCAAGGGGAAAAAAATTGTTAAACACAGGTGAAGTATAACAATACAGAAAAATGAGAAGGAAACAAAGAAGAGGTGAGTAGCAGTGCTTGTAGAGGCCAACCAGCTGTCAAAAAGACTCTTTTCTTGTTGTTACCTTTCAGAAGTGTAAAGGTCTCAAATGTATCTGCTCTTCAAAAATTGGGCTTAGGAAGTAGATCTGAATACCGAGTAATCATTGCTGCAGTTTCTACAGACTGGAAATGGGAGCAGAACCGTCCCTCTATTGACAACCTAATAACCTAATGGGGACGTCACACGAGCTGGATTTGAGAAAGTGTAAAAAAATCAGTCTGCGCAGAAAATCTGATAAACTAACAAAGGAGCATGTACAGCTGAGAGCTTTACAGCACAGGTCACAACTGGTTTGTTTTGGTCTTGACGTGGGTCAAAAGCACATCATCCTGTACTTCAGGATAAAACTGTACAAGGGACTTAAACAAACAAACAAAAAAGAGCTCAATGAAAAAAAACCAACAAAAAAATTAACGAAGATGTACAACATTTAACTGATTTAACAGGATATATGTTAAAACAACCCTCTAAGTTAATCTGCAAAAATCAAAAATTATTCTAGATATGCACAAAGTGGAACCTCTGCGAGCCAGTAATAAGGTAAAACCATGGTCAGAAAAGATTAAAGTAACTAATTCCCCAATTCAATGAAGAGTTGTAAATTTACAGATAAGGACAAAAAATTTGACCAACTCTTTATAAGCATCTATATAAAGGTGATGGAGCTATGGATCGAAACTGGAGGAATTTTATAATTTATGCACTTCTACTCATTGTTGAAATTTGACCAAATTTGTCTTGAGGCTTAGCCAAAAGTTTTCTAAAGAGGATGGGTTTTTACAGAGATATTTGTCACTGAAAGTATTTATAAATTCCTGAAGTTTACATTAGCACAGCTTTAGAACAACAAAAAAAACTGCTAGGAAGAAAGAAAAAAAAAAATGCAAAAAGCGGGATAACAGGAAATTGTTTTAAATTGGAAGCATTAAACAGTGAAATCTTTTTTGTGTTTATAAAATTTTTGTCTTTAAGTTTTTTTGAAAAATTTAAATGACCACTTACATGCCTTCAACTGTGTCAAATCTAAAAAACAAAAAATACAGAGGCTTAGCTTAGCATGCTTAAATAAAACCACAGAACCAAAAAGCAATAATTAAAAAAGTAAACTCATTATTAATAGATTCCTAGAGCTAATTATGTGCTCCCCCAAAAGTAAATTTTTCACATTAAAAAGAAAGACTGTTAAAGCTTGTTATCTTTATTTCAAATTCAGTTAGTAAATCACTACACCATGTAAATATAAATTCAGGTTTGATGTGCAGATACTTTCAGGAACAGCTTCCCTCAAATATGCAATGCTTTTAAAATTATTTTAAATATTTTAGCGCCATGAAAAAACACTCACTCTGAGCACGTTTTTTGGAAACCCAATGCCGTGTCGAGGCTTTATCCATTCATTGAAAAATTGTCACACCTAGCTGAGGGTCATGGTATGAACCCCCCAGGAGTGTCCTGGTGCTACAAGAGGAGCACCCATGGCCAGCAGAGGTCTCACCAGCGGCTGAGCTCAGCTCTGGAGGAGGCTTGGCCACCAGCCCCAGCACAGCCTTGTGTTAGAAAGGGGGAAAAACCAGCCTGAAAATAAGATTATGCTATTAAGTCTCACCATAGAGCAAGACGGGCTTGATAACGTTAGAAGCATTTCACCAAATTCAGTAGGAAAATAGGCAACAGGAGTTAGAAGTAGTCCGAGCTAAGCGGTTAGAAGGACCTACACATGTATTTTGTTACCCTGTGTGACAGGTTATGGAAGAGCTCAGCAGAAGGGTAAGGCTCATCTTTTACTGTGTGCAATAGGACTTCCAATAAAATAAGGTTTTGCTTTCCAGCCCACTGAAGGTAGCAGCTTCATACAGCAAACTGAAAAGTTTTCTAAAAAGAAATTTAAATTTCAGTGCAAATGCCAATTCTCACATCCCACAGTACACATGTGAAATTATAAATTACCTGCGAAGATCAATCTTGACATTTTATTTTATTTTTTTAATGGTTGGGATGGTGTTGAAAATTTGAAGAAATCTGACACTAAACCTAACATACGGAAAGGCTACATAATCATGGAAAGTACATGCTTTGATTGCTCTTAGGTCAACAAGTTACTTGTAGAACAGTCCATTAGAGTTTCACCAAATTAAAGAAGAAGAAAAAAAGAAGAGGGAAAATTATCAGCTAGACAGAAGAAACTGCTTCAATCCATCGGCATGGCATTGTTAAGACTTGTAGCACATACTTCTATTTGCTTTCACATTTGCATTTCTGTTCAAGGAAATATGTTAACAGTTGCCTGGAAAACAAAGATCTGCTAAGATCATAAAAATACAGCTGTCCGAAAGGTACAAAAGGTCGATCCAGCCTCCAACAGCTGCCAGTTGGAGATACTTTGGGAAAAGCGTACGGGTCATGGCATGTTTCTCTTCTCCTACATCCCCCCTCCCAGCTTACAAAAGGAGAGCAGCTTAGAAGTTTCCAGAGCCAGAGGTTGGTTTTATCTGCATTTAACAGCCTCTATGTCATACCACCAGATAGCATCAGAGCATGTCTCCATTCTCACATATAGATATAGGATGTGTCTCCCACGAAAGCATCAGCTTTCCTGAGCACAAGTCAAATATTGCTCCACTTTGAGACACAGGCACTTCTTCCAGAAGGGCAACCATAAAATTTCCCAAGGGGATGCACAGATAAATTGTTAATATCTGGTCTTGTTTCTTTTGTTTCCAGGAAGACACAGTTATTAGGAAAATTCCTTCTATGCTGCTTCAAAATTACAAAATTACACACTGAAGCCAAAAGAAGCCCATTAAAGCTTAAAAATGGTGCTGCAGCTCACCACATGGATAAGGTAACAAGACAAGAATAGCCTCAGCTGCTTCAGAATTAGTATATGTATTCAAGAATCTTACTTCTTTACTTATTAACTTGCCCGAATGTTTGGAGGAACTAACTCTAAGGAAAGGTTTGCAATATTTAAGTTGGCAATAGATCTTGCCATCTCAGCTGGCTGAATCAGAAAAATGGTCACAACTTGTTTCTTCTCTTCAAAAAAACAAAACCTGATAGCTAAGAGCATCAGTTGTATTTATTCACCTCCAAGCTGCAGTACTGCAGCGTTCTGAGGGACAGATTTCTTACGGAGAAAATTGTTCCAAAAAGGCACTTTTCACCTAGAAATATCCAGGTGGGACAGCACAGTGATCTGAGATGGCAGGAGATGAAAATGTCAGGATGCTTCAGAAAGCAGAGTGATTCCAGATCCTCTTAGTATAAACTCTAGCTCAAAAGGAAATCTCAGCAATGCTACCAGCAATGGACTGAGGCTGGCAGGGAAAATGAAGGACACAAAAAGAGCTTTGAAACCTTTCGGGAGATGCGTTTCTACAAAAATGCACCTTCTTACATTTGCAACATGGGAATAAAAAACATATAAAAAAACAATCAGTGTTATTTGTTTTAAGAAAAGCACAGAATAACCAATCCTTACTTGGATTAGGTGAAAGACTAAGTTTGTGGGTGCAGTCTAACACAAATCTAAGCAGGCATAAACCAAAAACTCAAAGTGTTACTGCTAAAATTAAGATTTTTCAAATGATACTAAGGTTTGGAAAGGTATAACAAATAGTACTAAATGACACAAACAATAAGATTGAAACAACTTTCTCTTATATCCAAAATTACAGTGAAGAAGTTTCACTTTTCACTATAGCAATAGCTAGTAATAGTACAGCAAAAAGTAATTTTTCTAATATACTGTTATATGCATTCACAAGTTAGGTGTAATGTGATGGCAACAAAGACAACAGTGAGAAGTAACCACTGTGTTATGGACACACATATTTACAACCTTTTCTTTTTAAGATATGATCTCAGTACAAACTTTACGTAAACTTGTGGACACTTTTGAAGAGTTCATATAATTGATATATACTAATCTATTTTTTGTCAGGGCTGAGCAGAGAAGTCTCGTGTAGGCTCGCACCAGGTGAAGCTAAATCATGTCCACTCAAATCATTCCCTCACAGTCGCTTTCAAAGTAGTAACACAGTGTAGAACAGACACTCCTTTAAATAAAAATGGTTTTGTAGCTGTCGTTTAGAGGAGAATAGCAGATATTTCCACCCAATTTCATGGATCTTTTCCAGAAAAAACAGCTGTAATTTGGCATATCATTAACTGAACTGAATTGTACCCTATACTTTGGTTGAGAAATTTGTATTTAAATATAGCTCAAATAGAAAAAAGAGAGTATCACTAATTATTAATTAATCACTAATTATCATTGCTACATATATTGCTGATGCAGAGCAGGAAAAATACTTAAACGTAAGTGTAGCTACTCTCAAATAGCATTATACAACGCAGAACACATCAGAGCCTACTTTTAAATCTTTCAAGAACCACATCACGTTGGCAAAAAACTTGCTGTCAGATGGTTAAAAAAAGAAAAACACACACAAAAAAAATCCAAAACCACAAGCCCAAACCAACTAGCAACAAAAAACTACAACCCCTGCATTGCAACTGTCCTCTCACAAAAGATAACGATGTTGCAATAATTTCCCTGCCATGATAAGCAACCATAGAAGCTGCCAGGGCAGCATTTCAAAGATTACAGTAGTGGGTCTGGATTTTCCAAGTTTCTGAACAAATATTAACCCATTCTTCTCACAAACATCCCTGACACCGAGTACTGAATGTTCAGGCCAAAAGAACCAATACATAAACCAAAATAGAAACAGTAATGCAAAAAACCCCAAAGAACCCTGCAATAAGTACGAGTGAAAAACTCAAACAGAAATAGCAAAGATCCTCTTCCTAACTGAATCTAACTAAAACCAGGTTATTTAACACGTTCAGTTAAACTAGTGTAAACCTTAGTCAAGTAGAAAAAAACCCCCAAATCATAAAGTAAATGAGAGGGATACAATGTTTAGACCAGAATATAGTGAAGAGGCAAATGACTGGAGCATCCACACAAACAAAACCACCACCCTCCCAAAAAACCACCCAAAATATCCATCATGCATACACAAAAACCAATCAACCAAAAAAAAGGAGCAAAAAGATTGCAGTGCAATACGACCTTAACAACAACTTACTTTGTTAGTTGCCCTTTGTTTTTGTTGTTGTCAACACCATTGTATGTAACAGCTGCCAGTTTTCTGCTTCTGTAGTTCTCATAATGTACGTTGTTAGTGACGTCCTTCAGGTCCTGCATATGAGTTCTGTCAATAAGTGTAATTTATCAGCTTAGCGTACAAATACAAAATACTATGCTGAAAAAATAAAATCAGTCTATGTGCATCTTGCAGATTGACTTAAATTATACCCCTCCATTAACGTCTCATTCCCTGCCACGTTCTCATTCTTCCATTTAAATTAGAGCTCTGATGACAGCAAAGTCACAGAACTACTAATTATTCTGAGCCGAACTATCTTGAGTTTGCAACATTCCAAACATTAACTTGCAGGACCAATCTCTGTGAAATTTCAGTTCTGTGGATAAACTTGCAAGTAGTTGGAAAACAGATATGGGAAACATATATTACCACTGTAGCAGGTACGTCAAAGCATACTGGGCAAGAAACAACAAGTCAAAACTTCCTAATTTCTATCTTTGAAGTCTGTAAAAGCTAACCGTGAAATTCAAGACTAAGCCACAAACATTAGATTCCTTTTAATAATTCTCCATCATCACCCTGGAGGAAAGCAAACATAATAATTTAACTGACAGTTGGTACGGCAGATGTCACTTGGTGAACTGCTGTGAGTACAGGACTCTGCACCGAACACAACAAAGCAGAGCCTTGTTTTGGACAACTGCATGACTGAACTATTTTTTTACAAAACTAAAAAAAAAAAATTTAAAAAATGCCTACAACTAAGTACCGAAGTGCTACAAAAATAAAGAGAGCTATTTTAAAAAGCCATTGCCATCACCACTGCTTGCTAAATAAGTGGTTAAACAAGATATAATCAAGTGTAAAATACTGTTTACAATTAAATTTATAAGGACTGATACGAATTCATTAGCTCAAATCCTTTTTTTCTCCAATATATGACTTTGCAATCTCTCAGACATACTAGAAAACTTAACGTTACCTGTAAGCTACTTACCTTATCAACATGTTCCTCAGAATTGTGAAGTCACAGTGTTCACCATTTTCAACTGAAAAAAAGAGGTATGTTTTTGGTGAGATGCCAACCAAAATCTGTGTCTCACAGAGATAAGGCTTTTTACATGTTGCCCACCTCCTACATTCATCCCAACAAGATATTTCTTCCAGTCCTTCTTTGCTGAAGCAGCAGTGTGTTAACAGCAGGAGAGCATTAACGAGGTAACTACATCAACGTATCTGGCATTAGATGCCACCTCCTATTTCACTGTGCCCGTCATTCCGTTGCTGTAGAAGAGGCTGATGCTGTGAGTGACATTTCCCTGATAGATAACAAAATGACACTGGAGAAACACCCCAGAACTCTCTGGTGTGCAGAGGGAGAAGGCAACACACAAAGCTCCTAGCGCACACAAAAAAAGGCATGAGGCAGGTTTCGGTGTGTCCCTGAAGTCAAGATGGACATTTGCATGGGAAGGAGGAAGAAAAGAAGGATGAGGTATTAAAATAACCCGAGAAAGTTCAGGTAGTCCTACAGAAAAACAAAGCTTCTTTGTGCGTTCATCTTGTATCTGCACTCCTGATTAAACTTACCCGTTTGTTTTACACAAACTGATAAGTTCACTGAGATAGCACACAAAGTCATACTCCAGAAAAACCTCATCTCCAAGTACTCTGCCCTTGGCTGACACACTCAAAGAAGTTCCTTTAAGTTAGGCTAGTTCTTCCCTTCCAAGAGTTGTACAATCACGAGTGTAAAACGTTTATGAAGTTTGTTTAAAAACAAAGAATAGCAGCACCACTTCGTACAGCTCCAAATGCTACCGCAAGAGCCTTACACAGCATTCGATCCTCTCTGGTGCAGTTGGTTTGTACTTTCTGCTAAACCTCATTTCCTGCCAGACAGACACTTCAAAGTGCTACAGCTTTTCTCTTTAAAGTATTGGTCCGTACACTGCTTATTGGTTGAGGGCTTTTTTTGCGTGTCTGTTTCACACTGCATCAAATTTATAGGCCATTGACCTTGGAAGGCAGAAATAATGAGGAAAAAAATAATCTCATTATTTAATACATGGAAAAAGTTCAGTGATCGTGGAAAACAGTTGAATAGTGATTGTTTCACTACACAGCATGATCCAAGCCATGCCATGTGCCATTTGAAATAAGTGAACAGCACTAACGTGCAAACAATGGCTGCCAGAAGAACACACAGTTATCTTCAAGTCTCTGTAACAGTAGAGAGTAAGTTTGAAATGAATAATAAAAATACACCAACCCACACCAACCAAGAAGACCTATCAGTAGTATTCAGTTCACTACCGGGTACCTTCCTGTTGCAACACCACAGCAATTAAGACTCAGATGTTTGGGGGAGGGGGGGACGACGACGGAGGATGGAATCTTCCACAGATTTTAAATTGAATTTTTGCTAGTCAAGTTGATCAGATTAACAATTATAATATGAATACACTAGAAAGAATTTAAGAAATACAGTTTTTATATAAAAAACCAAGAATGCTAGCAAACAATTGTAATCTAAGCCTTATCTTAAACTGCAGGAAGTTACTATAGGTTTTACTATTCCTCAGTGAGGCTTTCACAGGAATCTTCTTGCAAAGTTACATGCTGCTGAACTTTCCTTTACCTTGTTCCAAGACTGTCAGAATAACAAGAGGGTATACTCAATAAGTTTCCAAAGCTCATCCAAATTAGGCGTTTCAAATACAGACTAGTAAGTTTAAAATTAATTTAAAAAAAAAAAAAAAGAAAGAAGAAAGCCTTACCTTCTGCAACACCCCACGGGTACTGCCTTCCTCTAACTCTCTTGCCATTGACTTCAATGATCGTATTGCTACCTACCACAGCAAGAGGTAAACGGTCCTACAAGATAAAGGATTGCTTTAAAAACCAAAATTTCCCCTGTCATCTATACACATGACCTAAGCTAGTCTGGTGCTGTAACACTGCAATGCAGCTTACCCCAAGTGCAGGAACAGTGATGTTTACTGACCTCTGCCTAGTTTAATGACATATATATACACACACCCCCCACTGGAATTCCGTGAGCTCTTGTATTTTGTAAACCTAGTTAAGAAACAGACATTACTGTTACTTAGTAAGCTAAGCAACAGGCAAACCATTTCCTATTTACTCAGTTGCACCCTAATTATTTATTAATTCATATTCTCACTGGTTTCTAGGGCTGTTACGTTGCCTGAATCCTGTACCCCATTTTCAAAGGTTTGGCAAAGACCTACTTCAAGTTCTTGCTTTCAGCTGAACTAAAAACCCTTCCAGCGTAACAAGCAGCAAAGGAGCCAAGAGCAGCTTCAAGTAGCTGAAAGGAACAGTGTGCAAAGCTAAGTATTTTGGAATTTTGTCCTTGCTTTTATTCTGCTCTTCTCCTTTAGGCTTAGCCCCAGAATACCTTCCATTTGTGCACAATAACAAAAAAAAATTTAAAAGCTCTTACAGTCTGTCAAAGCTACTGAACAAACAGAAGCGAGGCTCAAGAAACATATACAAGATGGACACCAACATAAAAGCTGAAAACACAAGTAAACAAAGAAAAAGCCTCTCAACAGCCTGACAGTTCTTTTGATTTTCTTTGGTCATTCATCTCTGTTAAGGTTTCAGGACATCAATTAGTCAGACAGCTATTAAGTGTAACACACATGCTCTCTGTCACCATACACCTTCGAAATAGAACCTTTCCCTCCTTTCAAAGCTCAGAACAAAATGCAGCAGATAGATAAAAGTCAAATAAAGTGATTTTTTTTGAATAAATTATCTTTTAATAAACATACATGTGATCTAGTGCTCTCGTTCTGAATTTTAGCCATTAAAGGACTTCAGTCATCAAAAGTGTCATTCGTTGTCTTTGCTGATGAACACTGCTTAGAACAACTTTACATTCGATTTTTATCTCCCAAAAATTTTGTTAGGCTCTCCACTAATGACAAAAAAGGGTTTTCACTCTCTACCCTCCTCCCTGTCCCCATTAAGCAGTCCTTCAAAAGAAAATTCTTTACCTTTATCTTTTTAACAATCTTATTTTCTTCTTCGTCATCTGTTTCTGGAAATTCATATATTTTAATTTTGTGTTCTTGGATTTCTTTCATTATCTAAAAACAAAAACGTGTTTGTTTGAGGAATTCATACTCTACAATAACTGAGTCTTGCTGCAATTTGATTCTCCCTCCTTCTACTTGATACACAAGATCCTTGTACATTAAGGTGACCAAGTTACATCACAAAATTTCCACACGTTTAACACCATCAGGTGACCCCAAGGGATTATTAACACAACTATGCCTCCTTAGCCAGGAGAAGACAGGATCAGAACCTCACAGAGCACTATCCATCCACATAAAGCAGCAAAAAACAAACATCCATTCCCTACGCAGGGGTAAACAGATTTGGAATTCTACCTGCACATGTAAGAATTAATACAATACGTCCTAAGTTCTCAGACTAGTCTCAAGTCCTGTAAAAAGAATAAATATATATTTGAATAGATAACTGCAGGCATACTTCAGCGCTCTGAGTTCTCACAACAGCTACTGCTGTCAGTCCTACGTTTCTCTGTTTCTAGCTCACCTGAGCAGCAGTTGCTTGAAGCAGGAGCACCTGCCTGTTTCAGCAGAGCTTGTGACTGACGGACTGACTCCAGCAGTTAGCTGTGGTGAAAAATACTTGCAAGCAATAATGAAAATTTAAGAATAACTGACAGCATGATATAAAACGAGACTGTACTGTTTTGGTATTCGGTTTATCTGTAAGGTGTTTTTAAAACCAAGTTGATTAGTTTTCCAGAATTTTACAACAGAAAAATGTTGGACCATTCAGCTGACAGCTATGCTGCGGAGCCCTGGGGAATATTTCTGGCTCATGGATTTGCAGTCTTAAAAGAATGCAAGTTTCCAATTAATTTTCAAATTTTGATTTGGGAAAGTCTCCACTATTTAACATCAACTCATTGATAAAGCTGCTTACATATTAAGAAATATTTTGTGTTCTACCATTTTTCCCCCTTTACATCAAAAAAACCCAACCAAACCCAAATCACAAAATGCAACCAAACCTGAATTCAGGTCTATGGCAACTCGCTTAAGTTTCTCTAAGGCAGAAGAATCTTAAATCAAGAATCTTAAATCAAGAGTTTTGCACTCAACATCTCTTAATATCAACTTCTTCTCAGATCCTGTGCTCTTCTAAGCTAGAACTGGACATAGTTCAATAAACAAAACTTCATGCCTTGTCCTGCCCGGTTCTGGGTCCTCCTTATCCTCCTCATACAATACAACAAAGCCTAAACGACTTTGATTATGTAGTTAAAATAAGACATAAAGAACTTGGAGACATTAAAACCAAATTTACTCTACAAACTAAGACGCTGTATCAATGTTAGATTTATCTTAACATCTTTAAAATGCATTACCACAGCCCAAGACTGAACAATAGGTATACTGACTCTCATCTAAACACCTGAGGCATCTTTAATAAATACAGAGCATCAACAGAACACTGAACACCACAATACAAGCAATAATACCGTGGTATTGTCAGAAAACTTTTTTTAATTTTAAACAGAGAATTTCTGCTAGGCACCTAAGTCTTGAAAACTCCCTTCCTCCCTTACTGATTTTTATCTCAGCAGTGAATTATTTCACTTGCCAAGAATCATACTACACTTGAAACCTCTTCCCCTGAGGACAGAAACAAGATTATTTCAGCAAGAAATATAATTAAATCTAGAGATATAAATTACTTAGCTTTGCTGTCTCAAGTCATTACTTCAGGGCTTAAACTTTACATGTCAGAAGTTAAATCTCACCTTTTCTGTAGGGATCAACTTACAGAATTATCCCATGTTGTTAAATACTTATCTTTCAACTCACCTGTTTTTTAAACTGTTGGCATTCCTCAGGTGTAAGTGTGTCTGCTTTGGCAATAAGTGGAATGATATTTACTTTTTCATGCAGGCGTTTCATAAACTCTATATCCAAAGGCTTAAGTCTGAAAGACAGCATTAGAGCTTTGCAATTTATATTAATTAAACAAGAACATACAAATGATTTGAGATTTGTCCTGACAACTACTCTTAAGACACTGACTTAGGGGGTGATGGACGTATGAATGAAATTCAGAAGGCTACATGGAAGTGCTATACAAAATCTCCTAGAATTGTACAATACCAGTGAAGTAAGTCATAAGTTAATGACTAGCAGTCATGAAACCTCTGCTAGCCGAAATTACACTCATTTAAGCAAGTGATAAGAACTCTCCCACAAAGGTAGCTCGTTTAAATCCTGTCTGGTAAGAGTTTATAGTTGTGAATCATTAGGAGTTTTAGTTTCTGAAAGTCATGTTTATTTGTCTGCTTCTTCCCGAGAGTGGGCTGTGAGGGGTTTTTTTAACACATTAGATTGCTGAAGATTGTAAACTCTGTGGCCTGTGTACAAATGAAGTAGGAACAACTCACCTCTAAATCGCTGTGTATAACAAAAATACCATTGTAAAAGTGGATGACAGTGGCATAAAAACTAATGCACCCTCCATATGGGTATATAAAAGCATCAGTATGGATCAAAGAGGTCAATATCTCCTGCTTGCTAGAGTAAAGCCACTGAGATTTTTATGTATTAATGCTTCAGAATTATAGCAAGTTTAGTTAGGCTTAAAGGATTCACTTAAAGGATTTAACAAGATTATTTCTTATATAAAAGAAATTAGGATTAGGAACATTAAAACCAGACTCATTTGGTACTTGAATTCAACTTCTCTAAACCATGTATAAAAAAAAATAAAGAAAACATTAAAGAACATCTACTTAACTTCACTTGAACATTTTCCACCTGCCACTACATTTCTCACCTTCTCAACTTGTTTCCGTTACACAGCTGACATTAACACAAATCTAGATTACAAGCACTGGTTTGGCCATGGTTTCACTTCACCAGGCTTTTCCCTCTCCTCATTTCAAAAAGCTACCTGGAGCAACGCCAGGGTGAAGGGCAGTTGCCAAAGCAAAACAGTTCAGGAGGACATGAGTGCTCAGGCTGCAGGTCTGGAGTTTACAGTGGGGACTGCAGCACGAAGCTTTTCCAGAGAGATCCCAGAATTGCAGAAAGAGGCTGCAGCTGGTTATCACCCCGTTCACTTACCTGAAAGGCTCCTCCCACCCCTTCACTATCTCAGTTCAGATGCTTATGGGGAAACCAGTTAAAATGGTGGGATAAGCTAAGTGGAAGGACCTAATCTGCAATTTATTTTTTCTTTCTAAATTGTAGCAATCTGGCTTTTACAAATGCATGAAGTCATAAGGACAAACAGAAGTAAACTCACCTACAACTGCTTTAATTCACTGTAAATACAAACACGCATTAAGAGTGTAGAGTACATAACTTGACAGGTTACATGTGCTGCCGTCTGCACAGGAAACATGACCAAAGACTGCATCACCACAGAAAAACAGGTAGGAAATGAGCAATGTCCTTTCAGAGAAGACAGCATCTTAAAAGAGGAAATGAATGCTAACAGCAGCACCAATTCTCTCTGGGCTCTGTTCATTTCCTTAATTAGACAACAATTCCAAGCACTTACTCCAATAACTGAAAAAAAAAAAACCACTATGCAAGCTTAGCCCAACTTTACATGATTCCCCTCCTGTACAAGGAATGTACTTTTCCAGCTTTTAGCTTCATAAATTTAGTGACCGAGGCTTAATTCATCTGAAGCATTACCTTTGTTTTTTCATTACAATTTGCACCTCCCACTGGTTTAGAAAGCTTTAATGGATAAAAGGGCAGTGTGGAGGGATGAAAAAATGCTGTTTTGAAGAACCTGAGTTAGCCCCAAAAAGATCAATTAACAGGAGGAATGGATCATTTTTCCTTTATTTAAATTGAATTTTGATTTTGCACACTGGTAAAACAAGGATTCAAGTGTTTGCCTTTAAAGTTGACATGCATGTTGAGCAAAACTGACATTATAAACGTGCATGTATAACAAGAACCAAAAAGCATTTAAAAAGGCAAGTCTACAGAAGAAAAAGCCTTCTCCACACCTCCATATTTCTTTCCAATTTTAAGAAGTCTCTGTCTAGTTCAAAAAGACTGGAAACATTCCAATGGTAGCTACAGAAGCTGAGTGTAATAGCTGGTATTTTTCATTGCCTGAGAATATTCCTCGGAATTCCTTCCTTGCTCCTGTCAAGTTTTAGTACTTTACCCATACAATAGAACAGGCTACTTATTTTCTCTGCCTTCTGGTTTTGAAGTGATAACATAAGAGTCTCTGACAAATTTAATTAGTTAGAATGGAACGATAAAATGCTAAGCAATCAATTTCAGCCACAGTCAATCTATACCTATTAAGTACACCTCGGAAGTGCAGTTCTCTCTCTCCACCACTAGATAGAAGTCTGCTCAAGTTAAAATAACAAAGTACTGGTGGAAGACTGTGATAATTGAAAGAAAAAAATCCAGAACGCCTATACTGGAATTGTCACTAGACAAGTGACTACACTCCAGGTGAATTAACGCATGCTTATAAGGATGAGTGAAGCTTCCTATCTTCAGTTAAAATCAAAGGGAGGAAGGAAAAGTGAAAAGGAAAAACCCTGCTGCTTGAAGTGTGAGCGAGTTTCTCCTTTTAAGCAGGAGCATGTGAACAACAGACATACAGATCACAAACAGACTCAGCACTTACGAACACTTGTGTATTTTCAGTTGTTCTAATACTATTTTTCTTGTTATACAACAAATGGACAATCACGTTTTCTGGCGTTCTAATCTATTACTTGTCTGGCTCACCCATTTTTGTCACCTCAAAATAAGCTCATCTTGAAATTAAGCATGATCTGCAGGCTGTTAAGAAAATCCTATCTGGAACTTTACATAACTAAAATGCCAAATTCTGGTGTTTATCTGAGATGAAAAAGAGAAAGGCAAAATAAAACACACTAATACGAACCCATGTCCTGATGGAGCAATGAAGTATAAACAACATTGCACTCTGTTGTCTGGCATCTGACGTCTGTTAACTCGAGATTCTGCGTTCAGGTAGTCCTCAAATTTACTGTCAATGTAGTCGATAACTGGCTGCCAGCTGCAGAGGTTACATGAATAAATACCTGTAAGTTACACCATTTATGTAAAAAAGTCTGTGTTTGCTAAGAAACAGATGTCCACTGTTTCCTCATGGCTTACTTTTTTATTATTATTATTTATTTAAATGAAGAAACATCAGGACAGCACATTTTAAGTGACCAGCTTCTCAACCTACACTCGAGTTACACTGCTCTGAAAATACAATCTGCGAGTTCACTGAAAAATCCCCTTTCAAACACAATTACCTTCATTGTGACAGCATTAAATAGAACACTTGAGAACGGTAGCCAAAGAAATACGCTTTACTGGTCACATCTTGTGACAGCACAGAAGTCGGTTCTGCACACTGTGAGAGAGCCAAACGCTCCCCGCTTGCTTTAAAGGGAAAAGCTGGCAGCATTTCAACTGAGTTCGAAAGGTACTTGGAAATACAGTAGTTAGTTTTCAGCTAACTGGAAAGTGCAAAAGTTAATATTTTAACTGAAGGTCAAAGTGTGCATTAGAAAAAAAAAAAAAAAACATCACAAGGTCTTATTTCTCACACATCCACAAGATACAGTTCAGAATTATCGTACAAAGAATGTCTTACCAATTACTATTATCCACAGCATCTCCAAATCCTGGTGTGTCAACTATTGTAAGTAGTAACTGAACACCACCCTCTTTGATTAAAACTTTTGACTGCTCAACCTGTAAAATGAATAAGCTAAGATTAAATTTTCAGCAATTTAGTTGCCCTTCTTAAGCACTGGGAAAAAGCATTCAATGAATAAGAAGTCTGACAAATAACTGCTAACATCTCTTCTTCAGAGAGATACTGGGTCCATGTTTTGCTTATTAAGTCCCAATAATTTGCTAATAATTTTTTTTTTAAAAAAGAAAATGGCTCATGATTTAAATAAAGTCAGCATTAAAAGAATCCACTAAGTATACAGGATAATTAATATTTTAACTCCTGTTGAAACAGAAAACAGCCTAACCAACAATACTAATGCCAGAATAAAACTTAAAAAAAAAAAAATTTAAAAAGGTGGTCTAAAATACACAGACATTCTGATAAACCAGGCATTATCCTTCGAAACTGTGAACTTTGGACATTTAAAAGAAAATTAGGGTTTTCAAAACTAGTTACACTTTTCCAAAGCCAAGCACCTTCAGCTTTTCATTTCTAGTCCCATTAATGCATTTTTAAGAATAGATTTATTCCTTAGCCAGCATTACGCTTGGGAAAAGGAATCACAGAAAGTGATGGTTTCCTGTTACAAACAGATTGATATTGGAAGTAATGCAACTGAGCTGGGCTAGACCTCATGTGACCGTACTGGGTTGGGTTCCTGCAGGTTCAGGTCACTGATGGGAACGTGGCTCTGATGTGGCTGCGCCAGCACCGGGTGTGATGCAAGGTCTGGGTGTGGAAACACCTTGAGCTGTGACCACCCACCTGCAGCACAGCTCACCCTGCTGTGCCTCATCTGAGTGAGCACGTCACAACACAGAAAATTTAGGCTGGACTGGTACCTCCTTCTTCCTGTTCAGTGATTACTGATAATACCAATGTCAAGGATATCTGCCTCAGAAAGTGCTGGGCACCACTGTCCTATCAGTCTGATCCACAGCAGAATGAAATGACAAATGACAGTTCATTGGCCCTTTCCGATTCCTCACACATGTAATCACGTGGTTTTTTTTCCCAACACTATTTCTATTAAATTATAAGTGATGCCAGATATGGATGCCAGATATGATGCTAGATATGGATTCAACAAGTCAACCATACGAGCCATTTATTCAGAGTCACACAAAAGCTGGCAGACATTGATGCCACTTCGTTGCTTAAAGTGTCTTAAGCCTCCTGAACTCTAACTGGGGAAAGAAAAGAATCACAGAATCATACAGTCATTAAGATTGGAGAAGACCTCGAAGATCTTCAAGTCCAACCGTCAAACCAACACTACCATGACTACTAAACTACATCCTTAAGTGCCACATCTACATGTTTTTTGAACGCCTCCAGGGATGGTGCCTCCACCCCCCGGGCAGCCTGTCCCAATGCCTCACCACTCTCAATAAAGAAATTTTTCCTAAAATCCAATCTAAACCTCCCCTGGCACAACCTGAGCCCATTTCCTCTCACCCTATCACTAGCAACTTGGGAGAAGAGACCAACCCCCACCTCACTGCAAGATTGACAGACATCATATCAATGCTGCCCAAGCACTTGCACCATTCCCAGTTACACAAGTGAGACAAGACTTTCTCACAGCCACACCTGAACATTGTTGCAAACACTTTGCAATCACTGGTTATGTGATGCAATATCAATCCAGAAGATAAATTAGTATTCTACAGAAAGTCAAATTAAATACCTCTTGCACAAGCAAAACGCTGATTCTAATTCAGAAGAGAATACACAGAAACACAGAAAACAGTAACTACCTCCAAAGAAAGCTCCATATTTAAACTTGCAGATTGCTATTTTTATCTACTCATCAGCGAGGTTTCTATCCAAGCCAGATCAATCTCTGGCACTGCTAGGTCTCAAAAAATTAACTCAGCTACACTATGGCTGCCTATAGCATGCAATCATCATAGGCTGGGTCCTCATACAACCGGAAAAAAACCATAAATCAGTAAGGTAGCTTCATAAAACAAGATTCCCCAACACTGGGTTACCTCAATGCTAGTCACAGAAGAATCCAGGCTGAGTTTGATTTCAAGGCCACCCAATTCAATACATTACTGCAATGGTACAAAGGTTTAAAAAACACACAAAAACAATAATGAAAAAACCCCAAGCCACACCCTTCCTCTTAAGACACCAAGTTATCCTTTCACTATCCATACAACTCCTATACATGCAGTGCTTTAAAAAAGTTTTTTAATTGTGGTGAAAGCATTTCCCCTCCCTCAGGAGTTCCATGGAGAAATTTTACTGTGCACAATTGATGCCAGGTCTCGAGACAGTAATTCCCAGCCATACAGTCAACTCAGCCAAGAGTTTACTATTCACAACCTTTAGAACGCAGGAGATTAACTTCCAATTCCTTGCATTCTTTTCGCTGTCTTGCATATAGTAACCAGAGAGCCCTCCTATAATCAAGCTCTCTTCAAGTATAAGAAACCCATAGCACTTTCAGAATACTACAGATGATAATGTTAAGTGCTACAAGGTCTAAGTTTTATTCTTCAACATAAAAATTCCCAGGAGGAACCATTAAATTTTTAAGCATTCACAGTAGAATGCTTTTACAAAAGAAACAATTAATAAAACATTATCTTGAACATATGTTTATAAAAAAAAGAAAAGGAAGGTCAGGAGATCCTCAGAAATGCCACACCAAACATTTTTCCTGATTCTGCATGGTTGTAAAATGGAAGTGTGGCTGCATTTGTGAAGTTACCTTCTGGCAAATGGCCTGCGCTAACAACTTCTGCAGATAGTGCTAATAAATACCTTACTGTGTGGTGAGGATTTAAATTTATTCTCACATTTCATAAATTGATGTAGGTATCTTGCTATCAGAGTAGTTTTTTCAAAAACCTACAGAACAAGAAACAGTAACTGATGAAGTGTCCTGTGCCTGTGTTGTGGACAACCAGATCACAGCCACCAGCTATTTTAAGCAGTAGAGACTGCTGGTACAACAGTAAGTGAAGAACCTGCCATAAAGCCTCTGTAAAGTTGCATTTTTCCAACCTAAATGGATGTGTCCATACATGGTCAAAGGCACAGAAAGCAGCAACATCTGGAAAAGATCCAGAAAATCACTGTAAACTAGTGTCATTCATAGTTTAGCATCCAACTGCATCCTATCATCTAATTCACAAGCATTCCCAAGGGATTCATGGAAAACATTAGTTCAAGGCTTGGAATTTAAAACTTTTTCATAAAAAGTCTCCTCCCAAGAGCCATTTTCCCATGCACTCCAGTCAACAGGGTCACACAGATCTCCTTGGCAGTTACTACACAGCATTCAGGACTTGATGCTTGTTTCAGCCTGACCACTGATAATGGATTAAACAGGCCTTTACCACAGTCCATTTAAGATAGTCAGATAATGATCAGAGAAAACATACTTCAAACCTCATCATTTGTGAGGACGTTTCCTTTGAATTCATCTGACATCAAGTCACTATTAACTGGTTTTCCATTAAATTCATACAAGGGACTTGCCTCACAAAACAACTTAGAATTGCAATTTCTTTCAAGCCCAAACCACAGTTGGTATTTATCTATGTGAGACTCTTACACAATTCCTGATCAATAAGCTATTCCCACCATTTAAGAGCAGGCATTATTACCACCAAGATTCTAGGATGCTGTGGTGGTCTGTCTCTCATCTCCACCCTACCAAAAAGCCTTGACATCCCTGACTTTAAAATGCAAAGAGTATAATTCCCATGGATCCAAACAGCAGCTCCCACTGTTAATTTTTTGATTTAGTATTTGCCTGGAATCACCTCCACACCATACACATCGTTGCTAGCACACACAATTCTCAAGGTTGTAGGGGAAATAATTTTATCTGCACTTAGACACTGACATTGAAATAAAACAGCTTATTTCCTTTTCAAAATGCTACACTTAGTGATTTTTCATTCATCACAAGTAACAAAGGAAAACAACGTTGTACTACAAGTACAGTCAAGCAAACAAATGACTCATTAGAAACTCTTGCTTACTTCCTCTAAGGCAGAAAGTGGTCTTTAAATATATTTTATTCCAATCATATTTGCTAAATCATGATACAACCCTAATTTGCTACTGAATATAGTTTTGGCTAGCTCTTAGTTACCCTCAGACTTTAGCCCACACAGTGGAAGCAGGAAAACCTGCAGCACCTTTTCAACCAGGGCTCTGTTCAAGCCCTTTTTTTGGTCTCCAGCTTTACATGCCTAAGTAAACAAACACATATACAGCAAAGCTTCCTGACAAGTATAGGTTTTTTTTCTTCAAGTAGTAAATTAATAAAAATCAAACCACCTCCTGAGAACTCAAAAGGTCAGGATGAAGAGACCATCTATTGCTGCCACCTAAGAGACCTAAGTACTTAATTCATATTCCAGAAGCTCCATCCACACAGTTTTAGTTTAATTTTTCCTACACTGATCCACCTTTAGCCAGGGTAGGACTGAGTTATCTTTTAAAGATGTCTTGTTATATTTTTTGTTAGTTTGTGTGTATATTCTTCCTATTAAAAAAAAAAAAAAATCTTCTAATGACAGGGAATACAATCCATTGTTAATCAAGTTATAATTCAATGAACATGTACCTGAATATGTAATCAAGAGTAATGAAATGACACTGTGTCTCTCCCAACAAAAAGTCACCTTTCTACTTAGTTTTCCAACGTTCACCAATTGTTTCACTAGAATTGTCACAGACTGGCCTAGGCTGGAAGCGACCTTAAAGATCATTTAATCCAACCTCCCTGTCATGGGCAGGGACGCCTCTCAACTAGATCAGGCAACACACGGGGAGCGAGTAGGGATCGAACCTGCGACCTTGGTGTTATCAGCACCATTAATAAGTATATTACACTAGAGCATAATGATTTGCACACCTCTCCCACCTCACTTAGCATCTCTTGGAAACATATACATAAATTCAACTCTCCTAATTCATATAATGGTCTAATGCCCCTGTTACCAAGCTTTTAAGTCCATTTTGTCAGACTCACTACGGTTTTACATTGGACTGTTGTGCAAAAGCTTTCTTCCAAATAAAAAGAATTGATGCTCTGTAACAAACACATTTTATAATAGTATTCAAAGCTTTGATGTTAAGCTAACTGACAAGCAACGTCACTTAACCATCTTAGTACAATCATAACAACTTTTTTCCCTGGCCCTCTGGTAATTATTCAGTTTTCTGAGATTGGAGTATTAAAAAAATCAAAACCAAAACCAACTAACCAACAACAACGACAAAAATCTTGCCCAAAACACCAAACAAAAACAAACCAAAAGCCCCACAAAATAGCAAGGTCAGTGAATCATAGCATTGGGAGCACAGTTACTGAATTCCACTGAATAAAATCAAAAAAACCCACCAAAACAAAAAGCCCCATAAAACACAAAAGAATCCCCTCAAAAAACCCAAACCCCAACCAAACCAAAACATTCTATTCTACAGCTTCTGTTTAGCACCTTGTGTACCCTCCTAATTCTAAGATGACTTAGGGAACTCTAATTGCACAGCTGAGGTGATCTGAGGCTGTCACTTAACGAAGCATAATGATTTCCAAAACCATCCATAACATTATTCAACTATTTTAGTATGAAGTGTTTTGGGGTTTTTTTAATAACCTCTTTATAATACAAAAAGCATGCTCCTTTTCCTAAGAAAAAATATTGATCAGGAGCAAATTACTACACAAAGCAAATGGATGAGCTTTACTGTTCCAGTTTTTGACTACAGATTTCAGTTGTATCATACACTTGCAGGACCATCTTCTTTGCCTTATGTAAGTTTTGTGCTTAAAGTCAGACAGGTTCATCCTAGTCCCTAATATGTTTCAGAATAACAATTTACAATACATAAAAAAGCACCACAAAGGATACAGGTTGTGGAAGATTGGTGGATATTTTTATACTTTAGGGCCTTACACTTCTGTCAACTCCTTTAATACACCGTTTCTAAAAGCCTGCCTTAAACAGTCAAGGGTTTTTGCACACATCTACACATAATCAATATTTTAATTGATAATAAACCATTCCATTTCCAAACAGGGCTGTATCTGCATCAGGTTTCTAAAGCACGAGCAGCACACAAAGTATTCCAGTTCAGGGCTCCCACAGTTCAATAGGCTACAAGTTCCAGACCCTGGAAGTTTTGTATGATGAAGGTACGCTGAAGAAAACAATACTTCTTAGTGGTTCACACCATGGCTAAACTTATTTGAAATACAGGTGACTACTGCATCACCTTACATTACTAAATTGCAAGTTATATTATTCAAGCTGTCATTTTTTCCCCCCAGACATACCTGTACAGTCTTTTTAATTCTGTGTGAAGGACCTGGATACTCTGGGGAATACAGTTCTGTTAGGAATAATGAGTTGATTAATGTTGATTTTCCCAGTCCAGATTCACCTGAAAAAAAAAATAACAGCTTCAGTAAAACCAGCAGTATCACACCAAGTATAAACACTTAGATCTACATTTCACACTACTGCAGAACCACAGAATGTCAGGGGTTGGAAGGGACCTCAAAAGATCATCTAGTCCAATCCTTGCCAGAGCAGGGTCACCTACAGTAGGTCACACAGGAATGCGTCCAGGTGGGTTTTGAATATCTCTAGAGAAGGAGACCCCACAACCTCCCTGGGCAGCCTGTGCCAGTGCTCTGTCACCCTCACAGGGAAAAGTTTTTCCTTATGTTTACATGGAACCTCCTGTGTTCCAGCTTGCACTCATTTCCCTTTGCCCTATCAATGGACATCCCTGAGAAGAGCCTG